ATAGCTCCAGGGCCGGAGTTTGATGGTATGAATACTAATGTAGTGGAACAGCATTGGCATATGACTGGCTCTCTATAACTTTATATCTGACGTTATCTCTTAATCTCATCGTGAGCGTCTCATGTGGGCTCACCTAATGATCACAGCCCAGTACATTTGTTCTGTTCGGTCATTGCATTAGGCTCATCGATTACAGTTAATCTGTAGCTCCTAATTCATAACGTGGTGCCATCTAAACAAATACTGCATCCCAGAGTTCCCTGCTGCCAGTGAAGGTCCTTCCTGTCTGGTTTATTGTGCTGTTAACAGAGATTTGCTCATCTCATGTATTCAAGGACATCAGTCATTTATTGTGGCTCTAATGGTATTCAAACCTTTCTGCAAAGATGGGCAGAAACATGAAATTGCTATTATAATTTTAATATCCCAGTGCTCTTTGTCTATTAGTATCCAGGGACTTCAGCTTGTCTCCAGGGCCTTTCTTCCTGCTCATCTTAAATTTGTTCGGTGGCAAGGTTGTGTAATGTTGACAGGGGTATCTCAGAAGTCACCCACATCTGACTGAAGTATATCGCTATCTTATAATCTGGATGAATCTTTCAGCTGAATGTCTTACATCAAATGTAAAGGTGAATGCCACCACTAGATGGACTGCCACACTAAGAGTTGAATAAAACCAATTGTTAGAGCTGGTTTTAGTGTCGCTGGAAGATAAGAATGAATTCAGTCCCTTTCCTTGTCATTTCAAAGAATACTAATCATGGTTTCTGTTTGGAGAAGGACTGTGACAGGTTTTTATCTGTTTAAAGAGATGGAAACAGAATGGGTTTTAGTGTTAAAACTGAGTGATGAGGCCCGAATAAGAATACTTCAGTTCTTATCAGAGTATCACAAAATTAGAACCTCAGGACAAGAAACTGGTATCAAGTAATGGATCACACATTTGAAACATAACTTAAGATAGAGGTATACATTTATTATATCAACTAAAACCCTTATTAGGGTTGGAACTATCTGCTAATCTCTACATACCATGTTATCGCATTTTTTTTTTTAATGATTTGTAACATTGCTCAAAATGACCTATATATATCCAGAAATAAAGAGAAAGGCCTAAATGGTATGACACAATCCCAGAGGGTATGCACCTATATATTGTCTCGTGGTATATATTGTCATATAGCTCTCTACTTTTAAAAATAGTCTAGCCTTTACGTTTTATTATACATGCTTTAGTGGTACTTCAAGCTAAACGTTTAAGGTCGACATGGTAACATGCTCATCATGAGTAATATTCACCATCATACACAAGCATATTAGAAAAAGTGGATGGGAATGTCATCAGTTTTGCAGCTATTTGGTAATAAATCAAAGTATTAGAAGTAATAAGAAACTGCAAATATCAACCTCCTGTTGGCGCTAGAAGAAAAATTTGGGTATTACCACAGTCAGTAGGATTCATCTTCTGGGGATCATGAATTGCCGTAGCAATGATAAGCTTACATCCAGGTTTCCAATAAGCCATAACTTCCTCTGACACCACATGAGCTGAAATAACTGTTTGTGAAAGTGTTTGTATTAAAACTTGAGCAAGCGCGCTGCAGTAATACTAGCTCTAGTCTGGCAGGCACAAGTCTTTACAAAGATGGTTTAGGATGGATAGAGGGGAATAGCTGAATAGAAACATAAACCAACAACATAAAGGTGCTCTGATAGAAATAAAATGTGAAACAGCCTTTTCTGAAGCACAGTTTCCAGGTTAATGGTGTATTTACACTCCAAATGAATCTCTGTCTGTGTTTCTTTAATAAGATAATAATGTTTAAATCTTGTGGCAGCATAGAATCCCTGTTAGTAGAAAATATTTGACTTCATTTTCTTCACTCATTCCCTTCTAATTTAGCAGAGCTATGACGATGAAAAGGCAGATAAAGTGTAACAAAGGTTATTGAACCAGATTAGATTCTGTTTTGTTATAGGTACAAAGCCCGATCCCACTGAGAAATCAATTAGTATTCAGCCTTTATTTCATCAGACTGCAGTAAAAAGATATGGATGATATAAAGAGAAGAAGAAGACACGATTTCCTCTAGGCTGATACAATGACAGTATTATTTATACTGAGGAGGGACTTCAAACCACAGTTACCTTTTTAAAGACCCTTTCTCCATTTTTCAAGAATGTCATTTTATAGGAGATCAATATCTGTAACCTTGACTTGTAAATAAAGACAGATTTAGAGAATTCATTGATGTTGGCTACTGTTTGGCTTGTCTCTTTAATGAAGACTAAAGAGAGCCTAATAGCCTAAACAATAAACCGCGGTGGGCTTCACCAGTGCAATTAAACCCACATTTTTAATAGCAAACTGATTAATTTCTTTAATCAAAGTCAGCTGTAGCCTTGAAGTGCAGTCAGCTTTAATTATGCTGAAACACACCACAAAAGCTGCTGTTGCTATTCTGTGAAAATCTTCAGAAAAACTTCAGAGACATTATAATGAATAGGAGATAAAGAAATGTAATGAGTTTTTACATGGGAAGTGTAATTTCAGATCTTTTCGCAACAGTTTATGTAGCCCTGCAGATTATCGTGACAGGTGGGATTTTTCTCCTGCTTTTCTCCTGTGTGCTCAGTTTTATTGACATGTTTACCTCTGTCAAAGCCACAGTGTTTCCATCCCAAGTAGTTCCTCTGACAGGCTGCAGGAGAGAGAGGAGTGAAAGTGTCCAGATTTCAGGCCAAAAAAAACTAGTTTTGATTTAGCGGTTGGATTTTGGTGGTGATTAGCGATTTATTAAGAAGAAATTACAGTTGATAGCCAGACACTTGATGCCAAATCCTAATGCATTTAACTGGAAATGTCAGGAGTAGGAATGACACTGTTGGGTGCAACAGCAAATTGGAGCATTTTGGAGAATGATCCAACATTTGCGGTGGGTTTTTGCCCCATTAAGGCTCACCTCACCTTCCTTTTTATTAGGTGGTAATTTAAATGCTGGCTTTGTGGCATGTCATTTATCAACCGTGTTTTAACAAAGTGCTTTTACGCTGTAACTCAACACAGCGCAAACAAATTGCTCTTTCTGTGTACTCCTCGTTATCGGGGAGGCTGTTGCCAGTAATTGCCGTAGGAATGTAATATTCAGCCTAAAGAGCAGCTCAAAATTGTGTCTGTTCCTTTTAAATTACTGCGGCTTTGATTTGATTATTCACAGCAAAACATTAACTGAGCTGTGATTGAGGCTTATTGTACTGCCTTGAACCGTGCTTCCTGCCGCTGCACAGTTAAAGCTGCTTTATTCTTTGAATCTAATGTAAATTCAGCTGCGTGAAACGTACTGTCAGTGCAGTTGTGATGCCTTATGTAGGTCAGTTCTTCTTCAGTGTTAACTGCTTAGCCTTCTGATGAGTGATTTCATTTTGCGAAGGAACTGCGGTTTTATTATTCATACTCCAACAGAGATTGGAGTTGCGGTGCATTAAAGCATGACGCTGTCATTTCCCCACTCTCAGTACTGTTATTCCCTTTGCCCCAAATTGGAATTAGACCCAACATTTGATGCTGTTCCTAATTGTTTTTTCTCTCACAATCACAAAACTCCAGTTAAGCCTCGTCTCTCTGGATGTACAGTATGTCGTTTTATTGGTGGATATTTTTTGTAGCACTTTTCTTTCCCCCTCAGACTGCTGTTTTAGTTGTTTTTCTGCAGCTCGCCAGTTAAGGATTCATGAGTCTTTCTGTCACTGTTTGATAACAGAAGTGGGGTTTCTCACTTCAGATTTAATGCATACTGCTCCCTGCATTTTCTAACTGGCTCCAAAATTGATCTGAACTGCAACACGATTTTTCTACAATGAAGTAGCTGAACACATTAGGTCAGTAGCGTGAAATTGACCTCTGTAAAGTAGCAGCGTATGTGAGTTACATTGTAATGACAGCTATTGAGGGAATTCAAACTAAATGGATTCTATTTGGGACTCTTTCTGCAGTATGCGTATCACCTTAACACCCTTACAAATATTGCCTCATGGTGGTTGCACTTTAACGGCAGCTGGATAATCAGCAGCGCAGATAGAATCACAACTTTTCTTGGGAGCAGTTTCTCCCCGTTTGTTGGTCTAGAGCAGCATGTGGTCCCATATATCTTTTTGGTACTGTCTCTTCTGTTGATCTAATTGGATACCCTCTGTTGCCTACAATGAATCATTGCTGGACCTCTTCTTCCCCCTCAAGTACTTATTTTTATTGAATGCAGGGTTCCCCTGAATCACAAGGCTCAACCTTAAAACTTGTATTTGTCCCTTGGCTCCAGTCATTGATCTTCTTTTTTTTTTTTTTTTTTTTTTACAGCTGTGTCAGTATCACTTTTATTCCAGCAGAGGATTATAGGGCTGCTTTTATGTGTTCTGCCTCCCCAAAGAGAAGACAGGAGTTCAGGCCATTCTCCACACTCCACTAATTGACTCCTAATTTGGTAAATGCATTTTAAGGTGGAATGAAAAAGCCGACCCCTCTTTGCATTCAGATATGGGAATGACACTTCCACCCCTCCTCCATGTATTGTTACTTATCCCTCCTCCGTCCTTGACACTTGACCTTCACCGATGCAGAGAAAGCTCTGCTGCGGCACAGGGAGTTTAGTGGTGACACATTTAAAACCGAGGTGAGGCCGTTGAGGCGTTTTGGCATGCACCCCATGATTTTTCAGAGAGAAGTTTTAAATCCGGCCTCCTCTCAGGATCTTCAACGTTGCAAGCATCTCACTCGGCTGCTGATCCACACCGCAAACACCTCCAGGAAAGTGGCTCTCACTGCGCCGATCGAAGGCAAAGATTTTTTTAATTACAGCAGAATGGAAAGGCATGGGTTTTGCCTGCGGGTATCGGTATTGATTTGAGTGTATGATGTTTTAATGAGCCCAGCGTGTAAATGATTTGTTGCAGTTGTGTATTCTTAAAAGGCTAATTTGTTTGTTTTTCTCTCCGTTTGTTTTCAGTGGGTGCATTCTCAGCTGACTTGGAGGCAGATTTAAGGATTTCCAGACAGACCAGGATGTCAAAGATCTCGAAGGCAGCCAAGGCTGTGAAGAAATTCGATGCAAGCCATGTAATCCGGGCTATAGTGAGGTCAGGACAAGCTGCCCCTGGACCCCCGCTAGGCCCTATCTTGGGACAGGTAAAATTACTTGCAATTCCTCTTCTTGTTCTATCTCTTCGCTCCGAGTAATCAGGAGTATTAACTTAATTGCAGGAGCAGGGCTTCATTTTACCAACTGACCTTCCGCACACAGCTCTCATTAACTGAGAGACAACCTGATCTTTCTCTATTTTCTCTTTGCCAATCACATAGTTGCCTTTCTCTCCTCAGTCACCTCACCATACATCCCCACCACCTCCTCCGTCTCCTTCCACAGCTCTATTCATATTCCAATTCTTATTCTAGTCGCACAGCTCCATTGTGCAGGTGGGTGCCACCCTCTGCCTCAGTCTGCGACTATTTTCTCACAGTTTCCAGGCCAAAGACACCGACACCTCCATCCACAGCAGCTGTCCACATACATTAGCCTCACTCTTTACAACCCTGCTGATGAAATGGGATTGAACCTGTGAAGGTTTTGTCTTAAATTCTTGTATACTTTTCTCTGCTTCAATTGCTCCAGAGAGACAGCTGAGGTGGTGCTGTTTTTTATTGCTCAGGGATGCGCCACTACAACTTTCTCACACCAGATGCCAATTCCAACTAGATAAATTTATGTATTGGCTTGGTACAGTAATAAAATAAGTCAGCAGTCCTCAAATATTGAGCAATGAACAAAGACGGTTTGGAGTCGGTGGATAAAAATAACTGAGGCTGAATTATTTTTCGCTGTAAATAAAATCATTCATCTGTAACTTAACTGTTCAATCCTGATGGTCCGTTCATTAACCTCCTCTTTTGCTTCTGATCTCACAAGTGTGTTGTTTTTAAATCTTTCTTGTAAAATTTCAGTTTTATTTTACACTATAAAGGCACAATCTGCTCGCACTTTAATGGCCATTCAGCTGTTTAAGTTTGATTGTCCTTTGCGAGATTGAATGAAAGCAATCTTGCGGCTTGTTCTGTACATACAAATGAGATCCCGTTAGCCTCTTTAATGGACAGTGCTCATCAGTCTTGGATGCTGTTGCACACTTAGAAATCAGATCAATTCTCACAGTTCATCCATCTATGTGACTTAATGACGACACTCAGAGAGGAGAATGGAAAAGAGCTATATATGATTAATAACACCGGGAAAAAGCAAATGTCAGAAAGGAGTTAAATGATGTGAAAATATCACATTTCTCTTATATGACATCGACAGTAACAGTGCCATTACTTTATGGTTCTGTTCAAAATGATGTACTCTGCTGTCACCAGCTGCACAACATAAACTGTACCGTAAAGTCTGTTCATTACTGGAAACCTGAACCCCCTGCCTGACTGGGACTTGGATTTAGTTCTCAGAATTACTGTAGATTACTGTAGTTTTAAGTCATTTTAGACACATTTCTCCACTGTTTTGTTTGAGCTTTCTCTATGTTGCTCTGCACATCTACTGCAATTAACACATATTGTCTTTTCTGATTAATTTACTGATTATTATTTTGTCTAATGAATCAATCTTTTGGTCTAGAAAAGGTTATAAAATAGTGAGAAATCACCCGTGGCGTCTGTAGATATGAAAGGCTCATTCTAATGTAGCAAAATACACAACGATTCTTATTCTCAGGGTATGATACAGAAATGAAAACATACTTATACATATTATTCTCTGCCAATAGATCTTCCTAAATGTTATATACTGGACCTTTTATCCAATAATAAAAACAATCACCCAACTCTTCAGCTCTTTTCAGCTCTACAGAATTTCAGTGTCTTTTAAACTCATTGTTTTAGTTCTCTCTCAGTGGTCTTATTGTGTTACTTTCAGCTCTCAGCAGCAGACAGACGCAGTTAGGAAGTAGCTGGTGAACACAGTGGAGCAGTTAGCAGCTCGATGCTCCGAGAGGCAGAATTTTCTGGAGTTGGTAGAGACCAAAACAGAGCTAAAAGGAGAGTGAACGTTGTGAAATCCAGAAACATGACTACAAATGAATACTAATGTTGCTTTGTAACTGCTGGATGTGTAAATAGTCAATTGTTTGCTTTATCAGCTTAAAAGGTAATGATGTATCAGATTTGTGTTTACAATTAGTATTTGCTGCTCTCAGAGTACACAGTATTAACGCAGGTTTACCAAACCTTGTCAGAGCCTTTGGACTGATATTTGACAGTGACTTAGCTTTTAAATAAATAATACAGTGAGTAGTACAGTAATGATTCCTCCTACAGTTGGGAAACATCCAGACATTTTTATCCAATAACAAAGAGGAGTATCTATGCTTTAATCTCATCCCATTTCAGCCTCTTTTTATTCCTGCAGCAGCCAGGATTTTAACTCCTGCCAAGTGAAGAGACTGTAATAACCCATTTTTACCCTCCCTGCACTGTTTACCGGTTAGATGTATAATTGATTTTAATATTTTTTACTGATCACATTTAATGCTCAGCTAAATCTTCCTTCCCCTCAGCTACACTTGAGACCTCTGAGCCGAAGCTGAGAATGAGGAAATTCGCCAAGTCTCTGGAAGGTCATTGAATAGCACATCCTGCCCCCAAAACGTACTGAAAATTGACTTTTATTTTTTCAAATGTTCTTAATTGTGCATAACCGAAAGGACTGTACACTTACAACATTGCATGCTAACACGTTTTTTTTATAGCAGGATTGCATTACTTGCCAGGCAGAGAGAGGGCATATTTTTAATGACAGCTTCCAATAGGCATACATAAGAACTCCAAACAGCAATCATACATTTTGAACAACCTTCAGTGTCTCTCACATCATATAAAACCTGTCACAGTGGCATGAGTGCTTCTATGTCTGCATCAGTGGGCGTGTGTGGTATTTTTGGGTGTTTTTACCCTAAAAAAAAACCAGTCTCCTTTCCCAAAGTTTCAGTGGTTGGAATTTGATCATTTTGAAGAATCTGAAATGTTTGACAGCTCAATATAACACATAAAGTAAGAATAGTGTTGTTGTTTTTTTTTACCAAATTCAACAAGGATGCAGAGTGGTCTTTACTGCCTGTCTTTGTTTGTATGGTGCATGTCACCTTTGAACACTTGTTTCTCACAATATTCTGTCTTTTGTGTTAGTTATATGTGTCTGTTGTTTGAAACCTTTTTTTCCCTTATATTTATTTTCCCTTTAGCCTCCACAATTTAGCTTTTCTACTATTCTTGTTTGTGATTTCATAAACTCAGCTGTAGGTGCAATATATGAACGGATTCATTTGCATAAACCGTTATCTCTGTTTGATTTATTTTCCTATCATGTTGGTTTTTTTTCTCCAGGGCATTTAAATCAAACCGGTATTGGTTTATTCAAAAATTTCTTCTATCTGTTTTTGTAAATTATCTCTTCATATTATGAACTCATTTTTTTTGATTGATCAATTAATTATTTATACTATAAAATGTCAGAAAATAGTGAGAAATAGCCACTCACAATTTCCCACAGCCCAAATTGGATTTTCTGTCAGACCAACAGTCTGATTAAAAACATAATTCATTCCAGTGTGGGGAAATACCAAAGTACTGTATTTAAATTAGAGGTACTTGTACTTGACTTTATAGTTCTAGTCCACTACTTTGTTCTCCACTACATTTATTGTATTTCTGCTCTGTGGTATTGTTTGATTTACTCCCTTTAAGTATAAGATCTGAGTACTTCTTCCACCTCTGTTCACTACGCAAAACAGTTGTTCATCACTTTGCTGTTTTTAATTCATTTAATTAATTTTAAAAATTCATAACCAGTGACTCCTTGACATCGCCATTCAGAAATGAAAACATACTTATACATATTATTCTCTGCCAATAGATCTTCCTAAATGTTATACACTGGACCTTTTATCCATTAATAAAAACAATCAACCAACTCTTCACCATTCAAATGCCTTTCAGTACGTTCAACAGTAAGTGAACCTCTCATACGGCTGTTCAGTACTACGTTCAGTCTGTTGCTAGTTCAGGCTGTCAAGTTCAGTTCAGATCAGTATAGCCCATATAAGCAATGTACATAAAGTTAATAGCGCAGTTATCAGATTTATGATGGTCTCTGTGGCTTTTACTAAAATGCATTTAACGAGGAAGTAACGTACTGTCAATCACAGCTGAGCTGACGGTGGTGTTGTCAGTCACTAGTAAATGGAGCTGCACTGTTAAAAGCTACTGATTCAGTCAGTGACAATGTTGATTCAGTATAGTCAGTTCAGGTTAAGATCTACTTGTTTGTAGATCTGCTTAAGACCTCTAATTTACAAAGATGTAAAATAGAGAAAAGCAGCAAATCCTCATGTTTGAGAACCTGAAAGTGGGTTTGTCAAATAACTGAGCTATTAAGCCTTAATGATATTAGTTAACAATTAATTCAATCAGCTAACTGATTAATCGTCTAAATGTTTAAATTCTAGTTCTGTATTTCATTTAATTTGAGCATCAGGTAATTGACCGGTGCTTAACTCCTGTTTCAGCCACATGTCACCCCAACATCTGAGACCACTATTAGTATGCGTTTGTCTCCAGTATTGCATTGCATATCATAAGAGACCCAGAGTCTTTTGCATCATTTCTTTCTCATAGAATATACTTTGAAGTTCTCTCCAAAAGCTGTGGTGCTGATGGGGTGTGCTATGATGAATGATTTAGACATCTGTCTGTTAAATGTGGCTCCTTCTGCCAGAAGGGTGGGTGTGAGCTTGTAGGCACACTGTAGCTGTCGCTGCGTCAGGGGTAATGAGGTGAGATGGGTTTTAACCAGGAGCTCAACCAAGCAAAACAAAGCCATATGTTTGTCTAAAGGTGCCTCCTTTTGAACTGTTTGGGATGTCATTGTTGTTGGGGCAGCACGTTGTGTGCGTTTGTCTCTCTCGGCTCCCATGCTCCATCAAGCTCACACCGTGTGTAGCAAACGATAAATAAATGGCAGTCGGCAGCCACTCTGCTTTAGGCAGTGGCCCCGGCCCTTTAATCTTAGCCAACCTCTCCTCCTCGGTTTTTTCCACTCGCCTCTGACTAACCACCCTTGACAGGGGAAGTGCAGAGAGGTAGGCTGCCTGTCGGCTGCGGGGCAAATTTGAACAAACGAGAGAAATAAAAGAAGGAACGGGAGACAAAAAAGGGAAACTGACAGCTTTGGTACAGGAGAATAATTACAGACTAGAGTGAAATTAGCACAGGCGAATGGAGGGGAAGAATAGAGAGCAGGGGAGAGAGCAGCAAAAGAAGAAAGAAAATAGGAGAGTGGCTCATGCACTTTTCTCCAGGAGCAGGTTATGAGAGTCTGCGGGAGCTGCGGGAAAATGCTGAGCATTGTATCTAGAGCTTAACAGGTGTAACAAATTCTAGGAGGTAGTCATTTGCAGAGGCTGCTGCCTATGCAGTCACTGCTTTTAGTATAATAGAAATATGAGAGGTTGCCCAACAAAGGAGTGCATCCAGAATGCATGTGTTTGAAATGTAAAGTGAGCAGGGAGACGGAGATGATAGAAAGATGGTAGGCGAGAAGTGGATGCTGTCTACTACACTGGTTATCCCTGTGTGGCTTTTCCTTAAAAGTCTCTCTAAACCAGAGAGAAATTCCCCACTGAAACTTTAACTGAATTTCTTTTTTGTGGCTGAGTGTGTACATTAGTCTTAATACATCCTGTGAATATAGCCTGTAAATCAAGCATAAAGCAGTGAGAATAACCGCATGCATTTTGACAAATAGTCTCAATTTCAATTAATAGGACCATTAAAGCTCAGAGGAGAGGCCGACGGGTGCATTCACAGCCGCTGTGAGCAAAAGAGCGAATTCACTCTGAAAAACATCACACACACTTACTACACCCCTTGACATGCACACCCCATCACATCAAGACTTCTCTCTCTTTCAGCATTAAAGGCAGGCAACACGACAGCACACTCAAGGATTACCGGGAGAGGATCCGAGCTGATGGGGCCGCTGGCATAATTGTGATAAATGACGGGCTTTTGTCAGGGTGCTGCTCCATGAGGCAAAGAGCTTGCTTTTCTAGCGTAAATATGTGGGGGGGGGGCTTCCATTCACTTCACCAGTTCCAGTATGAAAAAAACCCATAAAAACACCAATTTTCTGTGACTGCAGAATGGGAGTTGATTGACTTTAATATAAACTAGATTTTGAAAGTATCAGGCAGTTATTTGTCCATGAAGCCTCTTGGCCTTGAATAATTACGACAGACTTCGCCTGTTTTTTCCCCTATAAATGGGTGACAGGCTGCCAATAACGCTCCTACATAATAGCCAATGAACTGTCAACACTAGACAAGTATGAAACACTTTATTAGTTTGCACTCTGTCCTGGAGGTGTAGGTGACAACAGCTGGGGAATAACTTCACAGTACACACATGGTAATATGTCCAAGTCCCCACGTGGTAACACATAACGTGTCTGCCTCATGACGACTCAGAGGCTCGTACCTCCGTGAGGAAACAAGGCACTTAACTGTACTGTATATCCTCTACACCTGCTGCTCAGGGGCGGATCTAGAAAACTTTTCATGTATTTCCATGGAATATTCATGTGATGATTTCATCGCAAACAATCACATATATCAACATTTGCTTGGAGATGAAGATATTTTAACTCAAAAACATAAATTTACTGTGGCACATTGGTAAAGCATTGAATATAAATATCTGAGGCTTGCATTAGAAATCAATAAATTGTTTTATTTCCAAATCTATAAACATTTTCCCAAATACATGTATTTTTTAACTAAACTAGAGCCTAACAATTGGTCTACAATTTGGCCATAACAGATCATTGTGTTAATTTCAGTTTTCTAACACATTATTTTTCAAATTAATCTAAATTAATGTGTTAAATTTGACAGCATTTTACACCAAACTGGGAGGACAGCTCCGGTGGCCAGGCAATTTTTAGAGGTGGCCGCTGTCCCTCCTCCATGCCACCCCTCTTGATCCGCCCCTGCTGCAGCTTTGACCCATAATCCCATGATGTCCAAATACTACAAAACCCACATCTGAACAAATCAGTGAATGAAAAGCTCTGTAATTCAAATGGAATTAAATGGTTTTAACTCTTTCATCATCTAAAGTGAAAAAAGGGATTTGAGAGAGACAGGCAGCTTTTGTTCTCTTCTTCTTTTTGAAAATAACTAACAGAGACTCTGAAACAAGCACCAATGACAGAAGACAGCAAAACATGAATTTTGAATGTGTTGTGAAACTGTAAAGGGATTACTTACATTGGTATTCTGTCTTTGTAAACAATGTACTAAAATAGACCTGTACTGTTGTGTATGTTATAGGATTAAGATGATATTGCCCATCTTAAAGCCCTACCATTGAAAGTTTTTATTTATGAAAACAGTGTTTTTCATAAGTAGTTGGCATCATGAGTCATGCACATTTTGCTGTGCTAAAAGCACTACTGGATGGTTTTAACATCAACAGAAAAAGTGGTCGTGAAATATATGCGAAGGTACAATACACATCTCTAAATTCAAGTCCAGCTGATGATCAAATTCTGCATCTAAATCAAGTAAAAGACAAAAAACCCAGTTTGGCAGAGATGGTGGACCATGACCCCATGAGTCTGCAGGTTTTCACTCCAACCAAACACCACAGTATTTCACTGATTAATATTTCCTGCCAGGCAACTATTAAGTAATGTCAGCCGGTGTTTTCTTTTGGTTTGAATGAAAATCTGGCAGGACACTTGCATGGATGAATCTGGGAGGCCATGACATAAAAAGATTAGATATGAGGAGAAAACATCCACTACCCATATTATGTTTGTTATGTTTTTCTGACTCTTCTCTAACCTTGTTTTATTGTGGAAAAAGTGGGTAGCTTTACCACTTCAGGCCTCTGAAACATATTGAAATAAGAAAAATCTAAGACAGGAACATCACTTGGGATTGTGAGTAGACTTTGATTTAAAGGGACACAAGCCAGAAAGGTTTGAACTCCCAGGGATAGACTCTACATTGAAATACTGGAGCACTGTGTGTAGAGTGAGTTTTACTGGTAGATGGCTTTTGAATCATGTCTCTGTGGTACTGAAGGGGGAAAATAAATCATCACCCCTCTGTATTAAACTTTTCTCTGTGAAGATTCCCTCTAAAGTGACAGAGAAAATGTACACTAAAGGTCAAAGTCTGTATTTTGGATGGCAGAAGAACATTGATCCCCTCCCCACAAACCACAAGAACTGAACTCAAATTTAACAATTAAACCACAGATGATTTTTCCTGTAAACAGAAAACCTCAAAGGTGTCTGAATGCAACAAATTAAATCCTGTGGCAGTTTGGACAGTCGCGCCCTGATTAAAAAAGGGAATAACCACTATTCGATTTCCACTTTTCTTTCCAGTTTCTTGAATATTCTGTACAGTCTGATGAATGTGTTCACAGTGTTCAATTTAAAAATACAGTCCCACAAATCACAGCAATGCATTTTGAGTTATTCTTAGCACAACAAAATGTGCCGAAAGCCAAGCTTGCCAAATGCATTTACACAGTTTTGCATTATACCCATCACCGTTATACTGAAATTCAATATCTGTTTGGATGTGATACTGGCCTGGCTGGTCCGAGTTTTGGGTGTGGGTACATGCTTTTGTGCATGCGCGCATATTCAGAGTGACTCTCTAGAGTTCATGGGAGATGAAAGAGGGTCCTAAGGGTGTCTCTGTAGGCTCCAGGCTGACATGGGAGAGAGTGTGGCTTTGGGAGCGAGACAGTGTGTGATAATGAGAGGGAGGAGCTTTCCCCTGGGCCTGGCCCTCTCCCTGCCCTGAGCTCTGGCTTGGCAAGGTCGAGTCTCCTGGTTCTGCTCCAGCCACAGTCCCAGCTCCTGCAGCACTGCCCTCCTGCTTGTGTTTCTCCCAGGCTGAGCTCAGCTTCACAGCCAGAGCCAACAGGTTCTTCCCCAGGAACACAGTGGATACACGTGAGTCCCTGTACCACAGCATGCCTGTGCCCCTCAGGGCCAGGGTGAAGATATTGATAGTAACCAAGCTGAGCCAGGGGTACAAAGCCTCCTTACGAGGCCCCCTCTGTCCTGGCAGGCCGGTGGCCCCCAGCTCTGTAAGGGCCACACAAGGCAGCAGCAGCAGGAGGGCGTAGCAGTAAAAGAAGACCAGGCCCTCGGCCCAGATGGGCAGCCTCTGCTCAACAACGCCTCCAGTCCCTGCTGCAGCCCCTCCTTGGGCTTCCCACAGCCCCGCCTGCAGGTCCAGCACATCCAGCAGGTCCACCACCACCCACAGGAGCCGGCCCCGCACCTCCTGTTTCCTGCGCTGCGGGGTCATGTGGTCAGCTCCCGTCAGGATAAGAAACAGGGATGGCAGACAGATGGATAGGAGCAGCGTCAGGGTCTTCCTGGCCAGCGGGTCAGGCGGCCGGCGCTCCTGCCTGTAGTTATGGCAAACGAAGAAGAGCTTGAGCTGGAGCAAGGACAGGAAAAGGAACCAGAGGGCGTTGGCAAAACCACGGCGTGGCGACCGCGCCTCTGACACCACGCCGGCTGACACAAAGCGCAGCGCGAGCAGGAAGCCCACATCACCTAGCAACACTGCCGCATACTGCCACACACTAGGTCCTGGAAGACCCCGAGCTCCCAGCATGCTCTGTTCCAGCAGGTAGAGGTCCACCACTGCCATCGTGCTCACCGTGACCAGGGTTGATACGCACACCTGGGGCGTGGGCACCATGCCTGAAAGAGACATACACATATGCACAGTGATAAATCTGTTACGACGGAATTAAAACTCTGCTCACATCGTGGCACACAGTGCCATCTGTCCCCAGTGAAACTGACAGTTCTGAAGGATAAGAACATGCTTGTTTTTTTTTCAGCCAAAAACTCAAACCACATGTAAAATAGTTTTATGCTTGTTGCTATGGTTAAAGACATTGGCTGCCTAGTAAGCAGTGTGCGCCCTTCATCTTTGGCCAGAGCTACATCTATCCTGGCTGTTCAAGCTGAGAAGCCTGTTAAATTGTGTTTTTTTTTTTTTTACTCTGCAGCTCTTTGAATTAAATAGTCTTCATTTTCCATAAAGGTCCTAACTGTGCTTCTTTTTGATTCTCAGATTTTTCCCAAGTTCTTTGCCTTTACTTTTTGCTATTTGTTGTTGTTGCTGTTCTTTTTTGTACTCATCTTATTCATTATTAATTAATTGTGTTCAGGCGCAGCTAGGTGCCCTGTCAAAGTCTTTTCTTTGCCTCTATAGTCTGCCATGTTTATTCTCACACTGTGCTGCAGTCTTTAATCATCGCAAATTCCCCTCTCATTTCAGATGAATATTGATAACTTGCTATTTGTTTAGAGACGCGTTTGACTCGTGTCTTTGTGTACACACTGTGTACGTCTGGCTGAGTGCATGCAGGCAATGCTAATTTGGCTGAATATGTGGGTTCATATTTCTTTGTTGCAGCTCATATCTCAGCCATGGACAGTATTAACCTCATTATTGACATAGCTTGAGAAATGATCATTGACTTTACAGTGTAATCGAACTGACATCTCTTTATCGTATTTAGCTGTAAAGCAAAGCACAGACCAGTGGACTGTCTGTTATCTGCTCAGCACCCCTCAGTGTGGGGGGGGGGGGTGTTGTCAACCCCTCAACTGGATCGATGACATTATAATATAAAATCATTACCAGCTCAGATGTGTCGTAATGGCAACAGTTGAGCGTGATCGAGCGAGAGATTGTCAGCATGATTGTGGCCTCTGAGAAAAGTCTGCCAGTGGAAAGTGTGTATTGATATCTTTCCGATGGAAGACGCATCACTTCCCTCACTGTAAGACTAACAGGAGCTTAGCCATCTCCTCTGTGCTGTTTGAATCATTGAAAAGGGCTGAGGAACTCCACTGGGTAAAAAAGGGGGTTTGAGATTGTGTGTGCGGAGGCAGAATGAGCATACGACTGCAAGTGAAAGATTAATAGGCCTCTTGGCTGTCTACATGCCTAATAAAGTGTTACTGCATGATGGTAATAGTTCATAAATAAGCTTAGGGGGAGAAGGGGTGAAAGTGATGAAGAGGAAAAGACTCAAATGCAGATACAAAGTGACTTCCACCCACTTATATGAAGACGTGCATTTCATGAGCCAGCTTGGCCTGGATGAATCCAAATGTATTCATCACCGGCGGTATTGAAATATCACAGACATTAGGGTTTGTTCTGAAACAGATAAATCAAAGAGATGAGGAAAGGAACGATCTGGACTGATTAATCCGCTCTGAGGCATGGTGGGAGGACAGGCGTGGATCATGCCAGCATTCGTAATATCTGATTGTCTATGAAGCCTTTGTCTCACCACACACTGCAACTTGATTATCATTCCCCCAAAATTGAATGAATTTCACCAAGCCGCAGATTGAGAGGATATTGGAATTTAAATTTGTTTTTTCTTTGTCAGGGAACAAACCTACTCTGCAGGGAAGGTGGGGGGGTGGAGAAGTTTACAGCCCATGTTGCAGCTGGCGTTTCCTCGAGGTTGTGCCTCTTCAGTTATTCCACCTGCGCCTTAAATTTCACCCTGGAAATCTCCCTGTCAGCCCGTGTTTGTGTTTTGACTCCCTGTCAACGCTGTGTAATTTATTCTGTCCTGAGTGAGGGACCAGGATGACAGCCTGTGTGTCCACTCAGCTCATCAATAATGACCAAATTCATCATTTCCCTGTCTGGGAAGTGACACTGCTCTTGACAAGGTGAGGTAACCTATTTCGCTGTGAGCACGATGAGTAATGGCATGTAATAGTGTGCAGGTGAAATATTAGTTCTTTTTTTTTTCTCCCACTTCTCGTTTTTAAGCTTACCATGTGTGACACCAATGAACATGCCTCCATCTGCACCAGTGTCTAAACAATCATCCAAAAAGGCTCACTCCCACTGCCAGAGATAAAGCAAAGGGGTGGGGTTTGCCACTTGCCTTTGTTTTCTATTAATACTGGGTGATTTCCAGGTGGACAGAAATCCATGTAGAGCAAAGATTAATTTGTGTACACCCACAGTTTATCTCCGTAAACACACCTCATGGAGCTCAAAATTATATCAAAGACGAGAATCCTTCACAAGTTATCACAGGTGCCACTGGAGCACCAAGGGCATCAGGACAACATCTATGTCATTATGTGCAAACTAATTAATTAATAGAAAGGCAGGCACTGTGCAATCCCTGATAATGCACTGCTGAATAAATCCCCTCCCCAGACTTAAAGCCACATGACTAAAACATCTGTTGATTTGCCAGGTAGCAGCCAAAGTGTTGCCTGAGGGTTTTTTTTTCACAGTTATCATGTTTGTTGTTTTTTTCTGATTTATAAAATTCGTGGTTATAATTTTCTGTCCCAGCATGCAGTGCTTTTGTACGATGCCTTGCGTCCTCTGGCAATTTAACAATCTCTATTAAACCGCTTCTCTGCAACACCTGTTTCATAACTGCCCTATTAACAGCAGGTAGCCTATTGTGGGTTTATCCGTGCATGTATGCTAGTAAAGTGAAGCTTTAGTTACCCAAACCATTCGTCTTGCACTTGGGCTCGATCCTCCTGGCTTGATTTATAGCGAGTAATATGCGTTTTTTTTTTTTTTTCTCCCACCAAGTACAAGCTCCGTCGGTGACCAATAAAGTCTCTTTTATTGTCGTTGATGAGCCGGGCTCGGTGATAAAGTCCTATTCCCACAGTCCGGCTGTTTGTACACAGGCAGGTTCCGGGAGAAGGCTCATCTCGAGGGCTGGAAGAGGGGAAAGTCACCGCCACTGCCACATCAAGCACATCCGAGTTTGTAGGAACAAAAAAAAAAAAGAAACCCCGGTTCACACTTATCAAGATTTCCCCCCTCCGTGCAGATCTGGCGTGGCCGATATTCTCCGATGGGGCTCCGCGGTTTTTGTTGCAGAGGGCTCGATCTGGTTCTGGATCTGTCACCTCCCGCAGTGTCGGTTTTCTGCTGGTGTCGGGTTTATCTTTTGACACAGCAGCGGGGGCAGAGAGCCGTTCAGGGGGGCAGCTGCTGCTGCTGCTGCTGCTGCTGCTCGGTCGGGCTCCAGCTGGGGAAGTCGGTCAGAAGTGGAGCGGCGGCGGCATCAGCGGCGACGCGGAATCGTTAAAGTGGAGACCGCAGACTGATCCAACCGAGAAGATGGCTCATGCTGAGAGAGGAGGCAGGCAGAGCGCTGCAACACGGAGGGGAGGACGAGGGAGAGAAACTCACTCAACGCTGTCCGAGTTTGGTTGTGGTGTTAATTTGTAAGCATGTTACGTGCTCCAGTCCAGACCTCCCACCCTCCTCGGTTTCTCCTCCTCTCCTCCTCAACCATCAAGCTGTGGAAGTTGAGCTGGAAGATGCTGTGAATAGTGCTTGAGAGCAGCCAAGTTGCATACAGTATATTCATTGGTTATGGTAATCATGATGATGCCACTTGCAGAAGATTTAGTTGCATTGTTTGGGAGCAGGCTGATTCCTTATTTACCCTTCCTCGCTTGAAATAAGAGAGAGGAAGTGGAGCGAAAGATGCTTGTAGCCTGTAGACACATTTAGAGCTCAGAAGGCAGATGTTACAACTTTAATTAGTCCTCCTTCTGTCTACTTACTGTCTTAGTCACACAAGGAAATCATCCCTCTGTTGTAGATTAACTCATTACAGCCGGCTTACTGCATACTTAAACAGAAGGATTGGGAATTTCTGAGACGGATCTAGCCAAAAATTCTTTTTGGAAACAGTTTTAGAAGAAGGCTGGCTGCTTTCCTCATTCAGGAATTTAATTTTGGTTCCTTTGTCCGCCACTGGCGCTATTTATATGGAATTTCCTTGCGTCACCTTGTCTACAAGGTCCTGCTCCTTCAAGTGAATCTGTATCTTCCAGTGTGCACCTTTAGCAAAGACTCAAGTCCTCCACTCCCTCGTTTCTGTGGCTCTCAGCGTGCCGGGTTCATTTTAGAGTGAGAGGTTTAATCAGACTGGTGAGAAAGGGGATGGAGAGTCATCTTTCTTGTCAGATTCAGCTCTGCGCTCTGCTGGCTTCCAAGAGAAGAGAGATTTTCCATTTTCCTCACTTCTGCGTGGGTTTGTCTTTTTTTTTTTTGCTCTTCTTCACCCCTTTTCTCCTTCTTTCTGCTGCCTTTCTGTCACCCTCTCCTCTTGTTTACCCTATTCTCTCCTCCATCCTGCTACTATTCTCCTGTTGTCTTTTTTTTGTGTGTTCCCTGTGGGTGTGGTTGAAGGTCATTCTGCACACTGGCTCACTTTCAGAGGGGGGGAGGGGGGGCGAGGCAGGGAAAAGGACAGGACAGAATAGTGAGAATAGCAGAGGAGGGCGAGGGGCAGCCAGGCGGGCAGGCTGTCCACAGTACTGTGCAGTCATCACTTTTTACTTTAGACATGATTGGGGAAGTTTTGGAAGGACACATGGGGTTACAGACTGTCCAAGAATGCTAAAGGCATCAACAGTGAGCCGTACTCCGCATCAGACCCGAGGCTGACCTCCACAAACATGGCAAACATGGAGAACTCACTCCCTTCACCTCCCTTCTCTTGGCACTTAGTGTCATCTCAGAGTGTGAGGCATGAATTAAAACAGTACTCCATCGATTTAGTGTTGCACTCCTGTAATTATTGGACCCATAAAAATGGATCTAAATTGATGCAGCAGAACCAGAGATATCTTTTTTTATTTTTTTTTATATTCCATTCATTCCTCTTCCTTCTCAAAACTTACATCACTGACAATGCAACTCCACCGCCAACAGTTGCTAATGTAGCCTTGAGCATTTGTCAAGTAGAGAGGAGCCGGCTGCAGAAGTCTGTTAAGCTCATGTCTCTCTAACTCCACACCCCCAGATTTGATTAATTTTCAAACTTGTCGTATGCAAACCCAACTGACACTGACATCACAAGTGACATCACTTGAGGCAGGTTACTCACAGAAGGCTTTATACAACGTTTCTCACATGCAGTAGTTCTCCTCTCTGTAAGCAGATGGTGATGTGTACAGTCAGTGGAGTTTATAAAACTCCTTTTAGTGTACAAAATTTACTATTATCTCTCCACAAACACAACAAATGCTTTGTTAAAACATTGTCTTTGCAGTCTGACTTTATTCCAGCAACTGACTCGCTCTCTTTGTGTTTCTCTCCTCCACTTGTCAGCGTACTGTATCTTGTGATTGTTCAGTCATCTCCAGCGTGGAGCCTCAGCTGCCTGCAGTTCAGGCTCCTGTGTTTCTGCTGCAGCCTCCACACGTGATTAATCATGTGAAGTGGCAAAAAGCACAACACTGTCAAGACTGTGAGGGAGACCTAATGGAGTTGAAAATGGGATGTTTTGTCGTGATGCAATCCATTTTGTTCCACCTTCGCCCGCCTGCTTGCTTGCTTGCTTTCACCATGCCCTCAAACAGCAAATTCTTCTTCTGGTGCCAGGTACCAAAAGTGAAGGCTGGGTCTATTTTAAGCAAAAGATTCAGACAGGAAAAAACGCTGCTGAGAAGTTTTGGCTTGTTTTTGTTGTTATAAAGATGAGTCCCTGAATTTGGTTCGCTCCGTCAGTTCGGCACTCATGCCCGTTTGAGCAGCGCTCCTCAGCGCTTTTATGCAGGGCTGTATATTGGCCTCAGCACAGTTCACTGGAGACTGAGGGTGAAAATCGTTTTCATTTTCCACTTTTAAGACTAATCCACTGATTCCAGGGTGGAAAATCAAGTAAAATGCATGTCCAGCGTGAACTCAATTTATTTTGTGCTGTTTGCCGTGTGCGGATGGGTCTGTTGGACCTAAACTGACCTGCCGCTCTCGCTCTCAGTTACCCCCTCATGCAGCTGAGGGTTCAACATGAAACCTAATCAGCTGTATGACGCTACAAAGGGGCTGGATGTGATAAAATGCCAACAGCGGAGCAGATTAAATGAACAAGGTAATGAAGGTAATGAATGAGAGTGTTTCACACTGAAGAGTTTAATTAACCTCCCCTCCCACCAGCCTCTCTCCACTGTAACACCTTCGTCGCCGTGTCGCAGCCCTCCTCTGGCTCGACCGCCCGGGGCAATTTATTGAGTGGCCTTGTGTGCCAGGGGCAATTAATCCTGCCTCATGCCCCAAGGCCTTATCCTGCGTCTGTGTCCTTTATCTCCATGTTTGCCACGCTTCCATAAGCACAATAGTTCTCTTGACCTACTCTCCCTCTCTTTCTCATCTACCTCCATCTTTTCCTCTCTCCTCCTCCTCCTCCCCCTTTTCCTCTTTTTTCTCATTTCGTTTTTTTTTTTATCCTGTTCTCTCAGGATGCAGAAACACCTGCGACCACACACAGTGAACACTTCCTCGTCGTCAGCAGTCCTTGGCAGCTTAATATGCACACATATCCACTCTTGAACTGATAGTCTTGTCAGATTGAAATGAGGCTGAAGTATTCATACATAAACATACTCACACACTCGCCCATATTCATGAGGACCTCCTGCGGCCTTCGCTTTTCTTCCCTCCCGTTGTTCACCTCGGTCAAACAAACCCCCTCTCATTGTTCAAATATTGACCACAATCACTGGCCACATTCTGACAACTTTAATACACCTCAGCTGTCTTTCTCTTTCCCATTCCCATCTCTCCTCCCATCCCCACGCACACACATACACACCATCCTGCCACACCAGTGCTACATCTTGTTAAAAAGAGTTAGTGAAGCTGAAAGGCCAATCACATTAACACAGAGGGAGTGTCAAAAAAGACTGCAGAGAATATGGTGGAAGGGTCAAATCAAATGGACACTTCTCAGATTTTAATTGCAAATGCCTAATTGCTCCCATAATTATGAGTAATGAGACTCTGCCACGCTGATCTTGAATGGATCATATAGCAATTACTCACCGCTGTCGCTGCTGGATTTGATGGCGAGAAATATCTTCGTAGATTAGCGTTTAATCCCGGTGCCCAGGATCTCAGAAGTCTTTGAAGATGTGCGACTGAATGTCCTCGTCCACAGCCGGCGTGGAAGGCCCCGCCTTGGGTGATGGGCTGCAGCCATTTTATACTGGAGAGCACCCGGCTCTAATCAGTCATGGTGGAAGAGAGAGGATTTATCCAGCAGCTCGGACTCGAGGATGATTAGATGCTCAGATGCAGTGAGCAGGGTTAGCGATTTGGCCAGGGCATGAATGTTACTGTTCCAGTTCTCTCCCTCTGATAAATGTCATGCGAAGTTAGAGGAGCCAACCTTGAAACTTGCTCTCATGGCACGCCAGCCCTCTGTTATATTTGTGATTGCAATTACCAACATGGTTCAATCGTTGTAATTACTGCAGTTAAACTATTACATAGCCCGAGGCCAAAATAAAACTTGCTCACTCTGTCATTTTCAGAAGCTGAGATTCTTGGACTCTTGTGAAACACCTTAATTAAAGTATGATTACCTGTCTCTGGTGCATTCTTAATTGTGTGCGGAACTCAAAGTACACTGTCTGCTATGCACAAGTCATCCTCAGGGCAGTCTATTTTTTTCTTATTTGCTACTCTTTAGCCTTTTTTTTCATGTTTGTTCAAGCCCCTTTTAGCACTGACTGTCTGGTCAGAGAGGCCATGTGAAGTATTTTCCTCTGTCTATCTTTAGAACAGTCACTCCTCTGTCTGCATAATGTCTCGCCATCCGTGCTTAAGCACATTTTAGAAGCATCAGGCATTATCTCTGGCTGGTCAGGGAGGCCCTTTCATGGCATTGTGTGGCCTGAAAGGGCCATCTGAATCGGTGGGAGAGATCATTATCCGACATGGGCTGAACAGAAGGAAAGGAGCGGGAGCTGAATGCGTGAGGCAGAGCCCGAGGGTTTGCTTTGACTCATACCCAACATCACAGCCTTTATACTAATCCATATTTAATTAGACTTTCCTTCATTGCTCCCTCCCCGCTTGTTTACCCGTGCTATGTTGTTTTATCGGAGGCGCGGGGAGGGAAGGGCACGGGTAGAAGGTAGTGATGTTGACATGGGATTACTATTAATAAGCACGGGAGAGGAGGGAAGGTAGAGCCTAGTGAGGACTCTGGGGACGTAGCTGTGTTTCATTTCATTAATAGGATATTGTAATTCACATAGCACCCGTCAGCTCTGAAACAATAACCTCATGATGTGATGTGTGGAAATTTCAATTGGTTTGTTGTTGTTGTGTCAGAGGATGCATAGAAACACCAGTGAGTAATGAGTAGCATTTTAGACACTAATGAAGTGATGGGCTTGTCTAGATCGAGAGCGAGTGATTAGCATTCATCAGGTGCTTTTGAAGCCTTTAGTGGAAATGATGTTCACAGAACTTTCTGCTCCGTTAAGTTCAAATAAATGTCTTCCCCGTCCTGTCATTGGAGAATGTCTCAGGATGACTGACTTTTCATCAGATCCATTATTAGAATCTGAAAGCTGTGCTCTGCTCTGTCGTGGTGCAATAGAAGCTCGCAACTCCATTAAACTGTATAAAACCCTTTTTTTTTTCCTTCCCCCTCATTTGTGAAATGAACATTTCAATCAGTGTGTTGCCTTTGGGAAGGATGGCGGGTGAAGGTCAGTAAAAATTTCAGCAGTAATAATTAGATTCTTTATTAGTCTTTTCCACTGAATTCAGTTTCAAAGAAGAATGGCGCAATGGAGCAGTGTTGGCCCGGTGTTGACTTAATGTCACCCATCCATTTTGCTTTCGTTCTGGTTGGCCTTGCAGGAGCTGGAAAATGGGAGGCTCATTCATCACTGGGTTTCTGTGGCTCTGGGCACCAACATGCATTCAGTCATAGCTCGACTGACAGACACACACTTTGTCTGCAACAACAGAGGGCTGCGCACAAACACACACATGCACCCACACACACAAACCGATGCATCTCTGTCTGAATATAATAAGAATAACTAGTATGAAGTGTAAAAATCTCATTGCGTAGGAACACTCTCTCTCGTTCCATATATATACCGTGACACGCCTGTTCCCTGAACCGTTCGTGTGTGCAAATATATTCAGACCTCTCTGATGTTTTGATTGACTGACAGCAGCCCAGGCATCTGTATTCTGGCAGCACAATGTGACACGAGTGACGTTTGAATGTTTTGCGAGCTCAGACTTCTCATACATTTTAAAACGAACCTCCATAATTTTTCCATGTTTATTTCTCTCCTTTCCCATCCAGAAAGGAATCGCCATCGGACAGTTCTGCAAGGACTTCAATGAGCAAACCAAGGAGCTGAAGGAGGGCATCCCTCTCCCAGTCAAGATCAATGTGAAGGTTTGTCTGTAATGCACGTTGTCTAACCCATCCCTGACCCTTTACACTTAACACTCATCCCTCCCTCCCTCCCACCCACGATTGTGGTTAATTCCACTAGCTGCATAACATTACCAGAGCACTTCCATTATTCATACTCCACCATCGAAGTAAGCCTTTCCATTTGCATTCATTAATGAAGCAATACCCAGAGGAACTTGGAGTCAAGAAGCATTAAGTGCATACAAGTAATGTGAATTACTCAGAAAATCAGTGTTATGACTTTTATTTTTTATTTTACACAACCACATTTTGTGTGACTCGTCACAACCCCCTCCCACCTCTTTGTGTTAGTTCAAATCAGGAGTTGCGTCCTTTCTGCTGAATAAATGTCTGTTGTAATGAGGTTTATGATGTAAGAAGGGAAAGCCTAATCCTTTAAAAGGCGTGCATTTATTTTGACATGCAATATCCAGCAACTGCTCTGCCATCACATCTGGGGCCTCGCTGCTGCCCATCACTGCCATCTGCTGGTGGGTTTTAGTGCTCGTTCTGTTTGGATTGTACTATGTATACTCTACACTGTTTCACGTGTTCATGCAACATGTTGCAGCCTCTGAGATTGATGTTTCTCAGCTCGACTTTCATTTCAGCCTTGTCGACAGCTTTGAGCACATCACAGTGCCCTTCATCTTACTTTAAAAGAACAGTTTGACATTTTGGGAAATCCACTTATTCCTGGTCTTGCAGAGAATTAGATGGGAGGATCGATACCACTCTCATATCTGTGTGTTAACTAAGCTGTTAGAGCCGGGGGGATATTAGCTTAGCATAAAGACTGGAAACACGGGGGGGGGGAACCAACCAGGCTGGCTCTGTTTAAAGTTTGAAAAAATCTGCCTACCAGCACTGATTAACATTATGTATCTCATTTGTTTAATCCATACACAAACAGACATATCACAAGATTAAGAGTCTACAGCCATGCTCGCGGCTCTGTGAGGCTGTACAGTGCTTTCAGCTAAATGCTAATGTCAGCATGCTAATGTGCTGACAAAGCTAACATGCTGATGTTTAATTAGCACTAAACATAAAGTAGAGCAGAGGTTAATGGGAGTGCCATTCATTTAGCAGGTGTTTCATCATAAATAAATATTAAACACATTAAAATGTTGACCTAATGATGAAAGTAGATGAAACGAGAATAATCAAAGTTATTAAATTCATCCTGAAGGGGGACACGAACATCTTCACCGTGTTTCATGGCAGTCTATCCATCAGTGAACCAACAGACCAGCAAACTGAAATTGTCGTCAATAAAAATTACAGGTTGTGGTTATACAGGGAGTTATGTGCTGGAACTATTTCCTGGTAAAAAGTGGCTCAGTGCAGTGCAACAATGTGTCAAGAGAATTTGTGTAAATGTTAAGGAAACGAGATATAGCGGATTATGTTTACATTTAGAGAGCAGGCTAGCTGTTTCCCTCTGTTTTCAGTCTTTGTGCTAAGCTAAGCTAATCGCATCTGATCCAACTCTCGGCATGAAAGTTCAAAATATTGAACTATTCTTTATTTTATTTTTTTTTTTTGCTGCTCCCATACTTGTTCCTACACCATCACTCCACTTCTATCTGTCTGCGTATTTTTCACTTTGTCATTTTGCAGGAAAAGCCTGGTGCAGTAAATGTTTGTGTTTCGTCTTATAACAATAGAAGAGGAAACAACAGCGACACATTGGACCTTTGCAACCGATAGGCTTCCTGCAGATAGAGAAAAATTCTGTTCCCTCTGTCGAAAGGTCACTACTGTTAGATAACACGTCTCAGATGACAAATCACCTGCTCTGTGGTATCTTCTCAGCTCAGCCTACAGTTTATTGCCCTGTGTTTGTTTGTTTGTTTTTTATGTGACAGATAACAGATAATCTAAAGTAAATTTTCTTCAGATGATTTATTAATTGAATCTATGTGTCAGATTTTAATAAATAAACGTCTGCGACCAGGGAATGAGTCTGAATTAAAAGAAAAGGTTCAGAATAACTCAGCGAGGCTGAAGAGATTATTTTTATTTTTGTCCCGAGGGGAGGATGCAAAGGGCGAGCAAATGAGGCTGGAGAGCAGATGTGCAGCAGCACACAGTTGGAGACGCAGGGGGTGGACAAAATAATGTAAACACTTCATGCAAAATGTCTTAGGTTACTTCAATGTTAAAGATGAGCGTTCACTCATCATTTATTATCAGAATTATAAACGCTGCAGTTGTTTTGGTTGCACAATTCTCAATTTTACTTTTTTGGTTCACTGTCACTGATCTCATCACCATTTGTTTCCTGCTGCAGCAGTAAAATACCTACTGTCTGCTACCTGTCCACCACCAAACAGCAGACAGATATTTAGTGACTTAGTTTTATCAGGTGACCAGAAACACGACTACTGATGAATGCTAATGTTGCTCCATATCTACTGGATATGTAAATAGGCAGCTCTTTCCTAACACCTTCACCATATCAACTTTATAAGGCAGCAGTATATCAGAGTTATGTTCACAGCTTGTTGTGTTCTCATATTAATACAAACGGTTGCAATAAAAGACAAAATGATGATAATTGAATTGAAAATGATAATAAATAATTGTTTACAGGTGGGACAGTAATAATAAAAACAGTGGTTGTTGTTGTTATTTTATAGTTTCTGTTAGTAGTTAGATAGTAACTATTGTACTGAACACAGGAATGAATTAGGCCCAAGGTATGAATACAATGGAAGGAAGCACTACTTGAATCTGAGAGGGACAAAAAAAAAAAGGAGGTACTGATTAACAGGGAACCTCAAATACTGTAGACGAGAGGAAATGATTCTCCCCAAAAACTGTCCACTGCTTCATTGAAGACCCCGAGGAAGACTAGTGAGCGGTCGTTACACATTCGTCTGAGCGTTAATTATGTAGCCTCGATTATAAAGTCTTTTTACCTTTTTGGCATTTAACTCAGCTGTCTGCCTTGAATTTTTTATGGGAACTCAGTCTCTAGGTCCAAGCTACAGTATGTTGATACTTCAGTTTTGAATTTCAATTAGAATCTGTTGAACGTTTCAAAACACAGGAAAACCTCATTACTTGTGTCTGTGCTCGTGTTTCATTTCATTTATTATCAAGTGCCTGAAAACTGATGTACAGTATGTTGGGTCAGAGCTGTAGTTATCATTGAGGACACATTTTCAATGATGTTTCTTTTTATATTCAACCTTTGGAGGTTTATCAATCCATTCATTAAATTAAAACCATATAGATGAATAATGAGTTATATAAACAGCCTTTAACTCATCATGTTGAAATTGCCGAATTGAACCAGTCACATACAGTTCACACTTTTGAGTCAAAGGTCAAAAATGATTGTGACCTCAAAATGAATTTGGCTGATTCCAGATTTCACACACATGTTGACTGGAACGACACATTGAGTAAACAATAATTAGCTTTCATCTTCCCATCTCATCCATTCAGACTCTCACTTACTGCCTCATTCTGAATTTCGAGCATTATCAGAATCATCTGACTACGAACAACGTACTGGATCGCGTGTAGCTAATCTATCAAAAAAAAAAAAATTAAAAACACCACATTTTGTATAGCTGTACTCTATAAGAATACATTTTTACTTAGTAATCAAGTTCACGTGTTCTGTATATTCACTACAATAAAAAGTCAGCCTGAGAGGCATTTTCAGACTTGTAGAGCTAGCTAATGTTAGCTCAATTAGCCAGCTGCAGCAGCTGATGGAAACTGCCAGCAACAGTTGTTATTTCAGCTGGTCGTCGGCCAGAAATGATGAGCATGCTTTTGTCAACTTCTATCTAAAATCCAGGTCCAATTGTTTCAAAAATTACTATGAATTTTTATGGTAAATCTGCCAACTTTGCCATTTAGTTGAATGAATGAAAAAACGTTTGTTTTTATAGTCTGTGCATTCATTTCTTTGCAGCGGTGGTGGTGTGCTGAGGAAATCATGAGCTCAGTACTTTAATCCAGGTTGAAGCTCATGCTTGGCTGAGATTATAATCTCATGGAAATCACATGTTCACACCTCCACCTTTTGATTGTAGGTTTTAACTTGGATTCTTCTTCTGTCTCCTCAGCCTGACAGAACCTATGACCTGAAGATCGGCCAGCCCACGGTGTCTTACTTCCTCAAGCAAGCAGCGGGCATCGCGAAAGGCGCTGGAAAGACAGGTGAGATGTGCTGCTGCACTCATGTGTCCGCTCTCACTCCAATCTGCACCCGCTGAGCCCATCCTGTAATGGACACACGTCTCTCCCTGGACTCAGTTTTGAGCTTTGCTGTGATTGATGTTATATTCATGACGTGGGGGAACTGCAGCGGAGGAAGGAAGTGGCAAAGGTGGTGTGTTATGAAAAGAGAATTATGAATTTCTACCTTTAATGCTTAAAGCTATCTCCAGCCTGGTTTCAGCTGTTGACTTCTAATACCACCTCTACACTGTCTCCAACACACACACATACCCCCACTTTGTCCTCTTTTGTGCCAAACTCTTCTCTGTACGTTTATTGAATTTTTCCTCCTTTGTATTGTGTATTCACACTCTCGAGTCTCTTTTTTTGTGTGAAGGCCACGAGACAGCAGGGATGGTGTCGGTGAGGGCAGTGTATGAGATTGCCCAGGTGAAAGCCCAGGACGAGTGCTTCAAAATAAGGAACGCCTCTCTAGAATACGTTGTCAAATCCATTGTCGGCTCTGCTCGTTCGCTGGGCATCAAGATCGTCAACGAGTAAGTCCTGATCCTGTGCACTTATAATGTCATTGTATTGACCTCAGGTCACCATAAACCTGACCTGTGTGCATGTAAGCAGTGTAGTCATTGCGCCTTTCTAGTCTTCCGACCACTCAAAGCGCTTTTACACTACGTGGCACATTCACCCTTTCACACACATTCACACAGTGATGGCAAAGTCCATCGAACTGAAACTAATACATACATACACATTCACACACCGATCGGGAGCAATTTGGTGTTCAGTATCTTGCTCAAGGATACTTCGACATGTGGCACCAGGATCAAACCCCAATCGCCGGGGATCGAACCCACAACCTTCCGATTAAGGAACGACCGGCTCTTCCTCTGAGCCACAGCCGCCCACCCGTAAGCTGTCCTGACGTTTTATGTAGTTCTTTAAAACCAAACACACAGTGTCACAAACATAAAGCTTCATACATATTTCAGCAGAATTACAAAGAAAACAAGTGAATGACCCTGGTGTCATCTGTAGATGCTGCTGTGCCTCTTAACAGCCAGTAGAGGGCGGATAAGGTAACAGTAAAGTGACCACAGTGACCACATTCAGCAACAGTGTATAATTCAGTAAAAACAGCAAAAACTGTTGTAAAGTCAAAGTGCTCAGTCAAAGGTTGGGACGTCCCCATCACATCTATTTATGATCCCTCAAGTCTTTAATATTGAGTATCTTTCAGTACTGACGCCTATTCAGTATTTCTTTGTCAAATGTACATACTTTTTTCCCAGTGTAATACAGCTTCACGGTGCATGTTTAGGCTAGATTTTTGTTTTATTTCAAACATGTAAAAAGAAATTAAAAAATATAATTGAGAAAAATTGTTAACCGGTTTTCAGCTAGAATCGGTTCTTGGTTCCCATTTATAGTCTGGTGGTCCAACAAGCTTTGAAAACTTGGGAGGGTGTACAGGGTTAAAAAAGTGTGCAAGGTATTATGTATTTGTTTGTTTGTTGTTTTTTGTTTTTTTTTATATTTATGTGTTAATCTTTGCCGTTCCGATCCAGTACCTTACAATCGTAATACTTAACATCATCATATAGTATCTACTGTACCACCAGTGTACTTTATATGCTCGGGCATTATTCAGTATATATTTCGATTTTGTGTATGGTCCCAGTTTAGTTTTAACGATGCAATTTGCCACCCACCTTAATAAGATACTCTAAGTATTTGTCTTTCTCCCTATGTGTCTGTCTTTAGTTTATGGTGCAGTTGTAATAAATTCATATTGTGTTGCAGAGGTCATTTTTTTGTTTTGCAGCCTGACTCTCTTTATACAAAATAACATGAATAATAACATGAGCACCCGACAATAACAAGCAGTGCAACACCATCAGGAATTACAGTCTCAAAAATTCAATCAGCAGCTCTGTCTTGGCATCCTGCTGGTTCTTGTGGTTTAAGATGCGTACTACATAATAACAATGTCCCTGGTTTGATTCCAGCCAGGGACCTTTTGTTGCATGCCATCCCACCTCTATCCCGTGTATCCTGTCTGGACCTGTACTGTGAGACATCTAATTAACAACAAAAAACCTTTCAAAATAAAATAATGAAAGGAGCTCTGACACAGTAGTGGTGTAAAGCAGGATGTAGTGTTCACACTGGTAAAGTGGTACAATAATAACAATATGTAACACATGTTGCACAATGTCCTGCTAGTATAAAACAGTATATGGTATATATTGTGTTCAATCAGTATGTAGTATGGATTTGGGACACAGAGATTCAACAGAAATTGAATGCTATAGGCTTAACAAAGATTGTACATCGTGCTTTTGTATCAGCTGCTTTGGATTACACAGATGTGACATCCCCCCCACTTGCTTACCCGTGAGGGGCTTTGCATCTTAACATCCACCTGTGTTTACTCTCATACTTTCAGATATTTATCATTTATTCCTTTTATTTTGCCATGAACTGTTTCAGCTCAGTTCTCTTCCACAATCACACTCCCTCAACCTGCCGCATTATTTCAGTTAATGATATTGTACTTTTCCCAGAATCCCTTTCTCCCCCTTACTTAAAACCTAACATGTCTTGCGGCTGCAGAGCATTATGATTTATTGAGAGTATTGTCAGTGGAGGAATTGGTATCTCAGCCTCTTTTACAATGGATTTCTCCCTGGATGGTTGTTGAACACTGTTGCACTGTGGTGAGTCCAGAAAGAAGACATTGCTCTTTGGTTCTGGGAGACTGATGTTTAAAGTTAATGTTGCAGATAGCTGAAGGATTTTCTGCTATTAAACATCACCATGTCCACTGGAAATATCGCGATCTGCTGTTTTCAATCCACATTTGTCCAATTTTATTACATTTTAAATCACCAAACTACTAAAGTGATGTAGGGATGCAAGGAACACCGTCCTTAACATTTTGGCGTTTTAACAGTGTTAATGATTTATTAACCCTGTTGAATATAAACTGAGTGAATATACATTTTTCTTCTTTTTCCCCCTCCTCCTCCTCTTCTTCAGTCTCTCAGCTGATGAGTACAAAATCTTCTTGGAGCAGAGAGAGTTGAAGTTGAAAGCTGATGCAGAAGCCGCTGCAGCTGCTGCAGTTGAAGCGGGCAAAAGGAAATGAAGACCTGCAACATCTAATATTAACGCCCCCATTCCTGTTTCTATTGACTCTATAAATGATCCACATTCTTAAAAAAAAAAACACTGTTAACGTTGTACGTGTCTGATCTTAATAAACAGTTGTTATGTAATATATTTTTTTCTCTCTTGTGTCCTTATTCACAGCTGATAATAAGATATTTCTTTACAACAAATTGTTTTGTTTTTTGTATTTTAGAATTATTTAAGAGATGTTACTTCATCTACATTTTTGCAACAAAAGCATCCACTCGAATATTGAAAATATTTATGACCCCGAGCGTTTCATTTCCTCTGAGCCAAGCTAATGAAAATGTAATTGCTCTGTCTTGGAAGGTTTTGTACATGCAGTCTCTTTGATGTTATTATCTATTATTAACACTTCTGGAAGCGATTTGGCTTTCTGTCAGGTTGTGCAGATGGTTTCTTGCACACTTGACACACTTCTTATCAATCTGTGATCTAAAGGGTTCATCACATGAATTATTGCAAAAGTCACATGGACTAATGGTCAGTCGGTAACTCAAATATTGTTGAGTGGAATTATAATGTCAAGTTTTGTTTTACACATATAGAAGGTTTGGTCTCATGTAATGCACAGAGATTGAACTAGTGTTTAAACAGTCGATCACTAAGTCAATAGACAGGAAACTGTCAACCATTTTAGAACAATTAAGTCATTTACCGTGAAGTACCAATGATTACCTGGTTACTGCTTCTCTGATGTGAAGATGTGCTGTTTAACATTTTCCAAAATATTTTGAAAAAAAACCTCTGCACACCTGAGAGTTAGACAGGTGCGTTAAAGGAATATGCAACTTGAAAATAAGGAGAAAAATCCCTGCACTGTCTCGCTTACTGCTGAAATATTTATTGAATTACAATGTTTCTGTCTGTCCGACTTTCATCAGATATATGGGTGGCATCACAAACACACACACACACACACACACACACACACACACACACACAAGCTGAATCATTCAATCAGAGGACTACAGAGATTAGTTTGACTGATGAGCACCTTGAACTACTCAAGACATGCGTCACCAGTCAGACAATGACATTAAAAATTAAGACCTAAGGAGGAGATAAAATGACCCTGTTACGGCCACAAAAAAACATGTTGACTCAACTGGTTGTGACCAGCAACAAACAACTAGTTTTGAAAGCAAAGGGATTTCGTTTTACAAATGTCATTAATTAACAATAAATATTAAGTATATAAGTCTGAAGGTTTGGCTGAAAAGTACAAAGGGATGAAAGAAGTCTGGGAAGTTGAATACTGGACTAGGAGAGACTTCCAAACTATTTCTGAGATCACAAATCCTGCTTGTAGGCCATTAAAAATCAGATTTTCAATGAGCACAGAGAAACACTCCACTTTCAGCAGATGAATGTGAAAACATCCTTATAGTGTCAAACTCTGCTCATACATCATTCTGCACAGTGAAGCTGAAACATCCAACTGTGGGAACAAGAAGAAAAACATATTTTTGAGTGGAGGGGGGCCTAAAGCAACATCCATGTAACCATCAAAACTCTCCACAGGTCAAAAATCAGGAAAGTAGTGAATTTAAGAGCAAACATGCATATTATGAATCATACAGTGTTAGCAAACATATTCTATAAACATTTGAAAAGGGAACATAATTTAACATAATTGTAAGTTTTGGGTTTTCAGATTAAACTAGCATTTTGTGTTGCCTCAGGGATCTTTTTGTTTGGCATTTCTCACTATTTTGTCAAATTTAAAAAAGGATTGCACACTACACTTCCTGGATCATCAGTGGTCAGGTGTGACTGTTTTTATATGGGAGTTTTCCTGCATTTGCTGTTTTATGATATAAATCCACATATCAGAAAATATTCTTATTGAAGTTTAACGTCACACATTAACTGTACATTCAAAGTTTTATCGTTGCTGTAATTGTTCATTCTCTCTCGTCTGAAGTTTGGCTGAATCTGGGTGTCTTCCAGTGCACCAGTCTGGGCCGGTGGCTCAGGAGGTAGAGGAGGTTGTCCATTAATCATCTCCTCCCGTCCTGTTTAAGTCTCCATATGAACCCCAATTTGCTTCAGATGGTCATGGTAGCTCGCTGCCATTGGTGTCTGAGTTTATTATTATTATTATTATTTATTTTATGAATATTACTATTATTGATTATTGATCCACAGCTTAGAAAGGAAACATTGTCTGGGGAAAATACAAAGAAGGAATGATGTCTTCAAAGCCACCCTGGAGAGGAGGAACATTTGAGCCAACTAATAACTCTTAGCAGTGTACATATGAGCATGTTGGACTTAATGTGAACCTATCCTTCAATATTCTACTAATGACTCAAACAGATCACCCGGCCCTACCCTGTGTCCTTACATCTGCCCTCGTCATAACCTTTTGATAACATCTTCTCACTCTGCATACAGTATCCTCCTCTCTGGTGCAGTACTTGTGTTTGCCAGAAGATAGCAGCAGTCGGCTGTGCAGCTCTTTGTCCACTGCTCATCTTCAGTCCACCACAGACACTGCAGCAGCCAGTGATGGAACAAAATGTTCGCCTGCAGAAAACCATTATAATGTTTCTGTCTTTGCCTCATTACATATAATAGATTCTGTATTATCTGGCATCTGGCACAGGTGATGAGTTGGCAGAAAAGATATTATATATGCCCTCAGTTCATAAAATCTTCTGTCTTTTATCTATAATGATTTAGTGAAAATGGGCTATCCATGTGTTTTTTGTATGATTTTGATTATGTTCACCTTTCCATCCTGTGGCGAAAGAGCATCGCTTTGCCCCACATCCGTCTTTACTGTACCTCTAATTTTAGCCTCCCCTCACTCTTTCTTTGTCTCCCCCCTCTCTCCAGCCCTCCCCTCTCTGATCCTTCTGAATGGAGGCTGAGAATAGATGGGAGGCTGCTTCAGTCAGAGCTCTTGAGCAGGAATGCCTATATATGGAGTCTTACGCCACGTCGAGCGCTGATGGAGTTGCAGGTACACCGAGTGAATGTGGGCTACTGTGATTTGTAAAGAGGGGTGGTGGTGGGGGGGTCATATGCCTACTATTATGTGTGTGCGTGCATCATCATAAGTGGGAGGCCAACTGTGTGTGCACATGCGCAAACACAAAAACCTTGATGCCAAGAGTGTGCGTCAGTCTGAGTCAGATAGTGTCTCATTCTGTCTCGTCATGTGTGTGCGTCAGTGCTGTTGCTGAGCGAAACTCGCTCCAGGGGAAGAAATGGAGGACAGTGTATGGGAGGGAGAGGAAAAGAGGCAGGGATGGTGGGATGATGATGATGATGATGGTGATGATGATGGTGATGATGATGAGGCTGAGGGAGGAACAAGGGGCTTGACTATGACGACACAAAAGCATCAGCTGCATTAAGTGCACTTTAATATAAATGCATTTGTATGACAACCAAATACACTTATAAGCAACACAATAGAACACTGGTCCACAATGTCCATTCTGCAGTAAGTAAGATGTTCAGAATATATTCCATCTTATACAATAAAAATCTCTTTCTTATATATATATACAGACCAAGAACAGTTTCATACAAATGTACAAATGTGTACAACCTTTCTGAAAAGAACATATGCCTATATCCACAGACATAATGCATATGCAATAACATCTTTTTCAAATATCACACATACAATATAGTAATTTTACACATGTATATTAACTTAGCCTTTAATAGCTAGAACGTAGGAATCAATCCTTTACTTGACCGTAGACAACTCTACGTGAGCATGTCGACACCATGGGAATAGTACCATTCTCAACCCGTGTCGCTTGGTAACTGAATAGAAATAGCACCCCATCCCTATTTTCATTTTTTAAAACAAAACTTTTGTATTCTAACCCCTCTCAAAAAAGAAGAATCGCTCATTCACATAGTCAATTGTGCCTCACTACACCGCACTCCAGTGGAGCAACGATGTAAATGTCCATGTTGAATGGACATGATAAAGAGTTCAGAGTTCAGCAGGTCATGGCCATTTCAGGCACGCAGGAGCTGCTATAAGCTGCCAGCATTGCAAATATTGATGCTGCAACAATATCCAGCCGACTGCCCTCAGGCCGGGGGGGACCTGTAGAGCCCACATTCAGAGTCTAATGTACAGTACAACGTAGCAGTGGATTTGTGGCATGATCAGAGCTCCGGCAAACTTCCAGACAAATATCTTGTTTGGTGTTACATCTTGTAAAGCAATGGACACCTTCAACATTCTTGAGATCTTCACATGCCAGGATCTCTTCATGTGTTTTCTTTTTTGTTTGCACATCACATTGATACACAAGATTTTTAGATGGAGAGATAAATAAGAAATGTTAAAGGTTTGAAGCCGCAAACTCAAAGCTCAAAGTATCTCAGGTTTAAAGTTGATTACTATTTATGTTTTGATGTAGCCCTTCAGGCTGTGAGGAAGAGTGCTTTCAAATCAGAGCTGTACTGCCTCTGAAGACTGGATAGAAGAGTTCTTATCAAAAAGAAATCTTTTGTAATTTGATGTACAGATAGTGGTCATTTAAGGATGTAAAAAAATTGTAAACATTTGACTTCCAATACATTTGAGATTTGGGTTTGCGTTGCTGCATGTCAGGCAAAAGTGCTATAATTCATCTCCTTATTGAAGTAGCAAGAAATATTTTGTTTGTTTTTTGTTCACAACAGATTTTTCACTACGAGTGAATACAAATGCGCGTCTGGAAGTTAAACAGCGCTTACAAGTTCAGAGAGGTTTCTCTGTCTGATCATATCTGAAGCTCATGTTACAGAGAAGCTGAAAGACACCACATGGACTCAAAACCCAGTCAGTTATGAGTCCATGTGGTTGCACCATCATGTAAATGTTGCACCAGTTTTGTAGTAGTATACAGATTAATGACTGAACAAAAATATAAAGCCAATCTTTGTTCTTAGGACACATGTAGGAGTTAAAGTCCTTAAGTTGTATATACATTATGTATATTTATACACTTAATTATTTTTTACTTTTCAGTAAAAGGGGCTCCACAAAATATGACAATATGCCATACTTAATGAAGTAAGTCACAGACTTATTTTAGAACGGAGGAACACTTCCACTCCCATCTGAA